GCCTCAGTTCTGTTCTCTCCTTTTGAAAGTTTAGTGAATTATTGTGGTTGTTAAATCTTTCTTCCTTATGTTATGTTATGTTATGTTATGTTATGTTATGTTTGTTGTTATGTTATGTTATGTTATGTTATGTTATGTTATGTTATGTTATTTTGTTTTATTAAGCTCCCACTTATGAGTGAGGGCACATGGTATTACTCTATCTGTGCCTGGCTTATTTCACTCAATATAGTCTTCTCTCAGTTCATTCATGTTGCTGCGAGTGGCAGAATTTCATTCTTTTTTATGGCAGAGTAGTATTCCAGATGTGTATATGCCACATCTTCCTTATCTAGTTGTTCACCCATGGACATTTAGGTTAGTTCCAACACTTGGCTATTGTAAATAGAGCTGCAATAAACATGGGAGTGCAGGTATCCCTTCAATATGATGATTTCCACTTCTTTGGGTATATACCCATAAGAGGGATTGCTGGATCATATGTCAGTTCTATCTGTAGTTGTCTGAGAAATCTCCACACTGTTTTCCACAATGGCTGCTCCAATTTACAGTCCCACCAACAGTGTACAAGGGTCTCCTTTCTCCACATCCTTGCCAGCATGTGTTATTCTGTATCTTTTTGATACTGGTCAGTGTAACTGGTGTGAAATTGTAGAGGATTCATAAAGCAAATGTACTTCATAGGGCCTGGTTTTCCAAAGCCTTGCAGTTTCAAATATTGACCTTGCAAAGGACAGGAACCTTTCCTCAGGCTATAAAGTCTCTGGTGTAAGATAAAGAATTCTAACACAGCAAGGTTGCTGGCTCAAAGACAGACAAGTTACTGATTGATATGTAAAGATACTGAGAAATTGCTGTAAGAAGGGAATGTTTGCTAAGATCAAGCTTTTGTTAATGGATCACTTAATTGCCTTACTGGAATGTCATCTGGCTGTTTCACTGAAAGTTATCAGCCTATATTGTTAAACAATAACCCCACCTATGTTCTCTTCCTGTAACTTCCTGGTCTGGAAAATAAATGCAGGAAGAGAACCCCAATTCAGGTTAATTTCCCAAGGAAGGAATGCCTCTCCCTTAAGGGTTCTGGGGTAAGTGAGCGGGAACCGGTCTGTATGTGGGATCCGAACCCTCGGCGGGAGCACTGCCGCGCTCTCAAGCAGCGCACTGTAGCAGTGCGCCACCGGGCTGGCCCAACGTGAGATGATATTTCAATGTGATTTTGATTTGCATTTCCCTGATGACTAGTGATGTTGAGCGTTTTTTTCATGCGTCTGTTGGCCATTTGTATATCTTCCTCTGAGAAATACTTATTAAGCTCCTTTGCCCATTTTTTAATTGGGTTACTTGTTTTATTTACTGATAAGTTGTTTGAGTTCCTTGTGTATTCTGGATATTAATCCCTTGTTGGATGCAGTTTGCAAACATTTTCTTCCACTCTGTAGGTTGTCTTTTCACTCTGTTAATAGTTTCTTTTGTTGTGCAGAATTTTTTTAGTTTGATATAATCCTGTTTGCTTATTTTTTCTTTTGTTGCCTGTGCTTTCGGGGTCTTGTTCATAAAGTCTTTACCCAGTCCTACTTCCTGAAGTGTTTCCCCTATGTTTTCTTTTAGGAGTTTTATAGTTTCACATCTTCTATTTAAGTCTTTAATTTATTTTTAGTTGATATTGGTATATGGCTAGAGGTACAGGTCTAGTTGAATTCTTCTACATATGGATGTCCAGTTTTCCCAACACCATTTATTGAGGAGGCAGTCTTTTCCCCAATGTATGTTCTTGGTGCCTTTGTTTAAGATCAGTTGGCTATAAGTATGTGTTGATTTCTGGATTCTCTATTCTGTTCTAGTGGTTTGAGTGTTTTTATGCCAGTACAAGGCTGTTTTGATTACTATAGCTTTGTAGTATAACTTGAAGTCAGGTAGTGTTATGTCTCTGGCTTTATTTATTTTTTGCTTGGAACTGCTTTGGCTATTTGGAATCTTTTCTTGTTCTGTGTGAATTTTAGGATTGTTTTTTCTCCTTATGTGAAGAATGTCATTGGTATTTTGATGGGAATTGCATTGAAACTGTAGATTGCTTTGGGTATTATGAACATTTTCACAATGTTAATTCTTTCAATCCAAGAGTATGGAATGCCTGTAAATCTTTTTGCATCCTCTTTAATTTCCTTCAGCAGTGATTTGTAGTTCTCATTGTAGAGATCTTTCACCTCCTTGGTTAAATTGATTCCTAGGAATTTAATTTTTTTAGTGACTATTGTAAATGGGCTTGCTTTCTTGATTTCTTTTTCTGCTAGTTTGTTATCAGAGTGTAAAAAATGCTACTGAATTTTTTTTTTTTTAAAGATGACCGGTAAGGGGATCTCAACCCTAGGCTTGGTGTTGTCAGCACCATGCTCAGCTAGTGAGCAAACTGGCCATCCCTATATAGGATCCAAACCCGTGGCCTTGGTGTTATCAGCACCGCACTCTACCGAGTGAGCCATGGGCCGGCCTAAAATGCTACTGAATTTTGGGTATTGATTTTTTATCCTGCAACTTTACTGAAAATTTTTTTCAGCTCTGAAAGTTTTTTGGTAGAGTGTTTAGGTTTTTTTCTATAACATGTCACTTGCAAACAAGGACAGTTTGGCTTTGTCTTTTCCAATTTTTATCCCCTTTATTTCTTTCTCTTCCCTGATTGCTCTGGCTAAGCAATCTAAGAAAGTCTCAGAAATGAGAAAGGAGGTCTCAGAAATGAGAAGGAGCTTATTGGAAACTGGAGCAAAGATCACCCTTGCTATAAACTGGCAAGGAACTTGTCTGGATTCTGTTTATGCCCAAAAGATTTATGGCATGTGGAACTTAAAGATGCTTAACTGGGATTTCTGGTGGAAGAAATTCCAAGCAGCAAAGCATTCAGGAATCTGAATGGCTACTTGCAACAGCCTACACTGAGTTACAGCTAAAAGGCAAAATGTAAAGCCAGAATTAATAATTAAAAGTCAAGCAGAGTGTAAATATTTAGAAAATTTGAAGCCTGGCTATATGGTAGAGAATGGGAAAGCATTTTCAGGAAAAAAATTCAAGGCTATACCCCAGTGACCATTTGCTAAGGAGATTAGTACAGAAGAAAGAGATTATCAAGAGAAGGGAAAAAAGACCTTGAAGACATTTCAGAGATCTCTGAGGCTGCCCCTTCCATCACAGGCCCAGAGGCCTAGGGTGACAGAATGGTCTCAGGGAACAGGCCTGGGGAACACTCCTTGGGCTTGCTTCCCAGGGCTACCTCAGGATACTGCTCCCTGCACTAGCACTCTAGCTGTGTTGGTGGTTCTAACTGTGGCTAAATTAGCCCCAGACAAGGCTGGACCTGCAGCTTCAGAAGTTATAAGCTGGAAACCTTGGTGGCAGCCATGTGGTGTTAAGTCTGCAGGCTCCCATCATTCCAGAGCTGTGCCACTCAGATATCAAAGGATGTATGGAAAAGCCTGGCTGCCCATGAAGAAATATTTCACAGGGGTGGAGTCATCTCAGACAGCCTTCACTAAAGCAATGCCAAGCAGAAATGTGGGATCAGAGTTGCATCAAAAAACCCCCATCAGTGCCATGCCTAGTGGGGCCATGAGAGCAGGACCACCATGGAGACCCCACAATTATAGAGCTACCGCAGTGGAACACCAGCCTGGTATAGCGAAGCATGGCCTGAAACCAGGAAAGCCATAGTAATGGAGCTGCTCAGTGACCTGGAGGCCCAACCCTCAAACTGGCATGCAGAAGACATCAAACATGAAGTTGAGGTAGATAATTCATCAGCTTTGAAATTTGATGCCTGCCCTGATGGGTTTTGGATTTGTTTGGGACCTGTTACCCTATTCTTTTGACCTATTTCTCCCCTTTGGAATAGGTTGTACCATATGTTTGTCCCACCATAGTATCTTGGAAGTAGGTAACTTGTGTTGATTTCACAGATGAGACTTTGGACTCTTTGGGCTTTTGAGCTGGGACAAGTTAAGACTTTGGGGCTATGGGGATGAAATGAATGTATTTGTATGTGAAAATAGCATGAGTTTTGGGGGGCCAGGGATGGAATCCTGTAGATTGAATGTCCCCCAAACTCATTGATGCCTAATTGCCACTGTAACTGTTGAGGTTAGAAAATCCTATTAGAGTAATTGAAAGGTAGGGCCTTGAAGAGGTGATTAGATTGTGAGGACCATGCCCTAGTAAATGGATTAATAAGTCGATGGTTTATTGGTGATCATGGGCATGGTTCTGAGGGCTTTAATTGGAGAGCACATGAGGAGGAGCTCTCTCTCTGCTCCACCACATTTGCTATGTGATACCCTGAGTCACTGTAGTCACCACCAGGACAAGGCCCTCACCAGATGTGTTCCCTGGACCTTGGATTTCCCAGCCTCTGAAACTATAAGCAATAAATATCCTATTTCTTTATAAATTACCCAGTTGCAAGTATTTCTGTTATACACAACCCAAATGCACTAGTACAGGCATTGAGAAGAAGCAGGACTATTCTTAGCAGAGCTTATTCCAGTACCCGAGATCTTAGCCACAAGTGAGAGCTTCAAGCCCTTTGAATGATAAGAGAAGTAGCAGGGAAATAGGAGCTGAATCTGCTGAATGCCATGGTGTCCCCCATAATACTGAGGCTATGAACATTGGATTTAGAATCTGACAATTTTGGGTACCATTCAGTGCTCTGATATCCACCAGCTATTGGTAATGTTAAGTAACCTCTTTTAGCCTCAATTTTCTCATATGGAAAGTAAGACTAAAAGATAACCTCAAAGGCTTTTTATAAGCATGAAATGAGATAGTGAATGTAACCCCATACTATGTAATAAGTGCTCATTTCATGATTTGTTCTTGGTTCTTAACATCATTGTAGGGTATGGGCAGAGACACAAATAAGAACACATAGGCTACCGGTATGCTGCATCCAAAGATTTCCATTTGGAGATTTTGAGTTTAGGGAGAATATCAGGTAGTATACTTAATGGAAAAGCAACTAGGACGCAGAGGGAGAAGGTCTCATTTGTCCTTGGTAGTCTTCTCAATCCAGGACACATATTGGTAAACATTGGTGTAGATGCCAACATCCCCTCCCATGAAGTGCCCAACCTCGATCCCCTGGAGCTTGTTTTTGCAGATGACAGTAGCAACGGCCACCTCCTACCCAAGATCATGCAAAGACCAAGGGAGAGAAAGAGAGAAAGAAAGAGAGGGTCAGATCTTCTCCTTACAGGAAACTTCCCTAGTCCCCAACTTGGGTGAGATCTGCCTAGAGGCAATATGCTAGGTCATGAAAGAGCATTGAATCAGGAACAGGAAGCTTGGGTCCTTTTTTCAGTTTTGCTATAACTAGCTTCGTGTGATCTTGAGAAAGTCAGAGAATAGCCTCTCTAGAAACCACATGTAAAATGAATCAGACCCCATTTATTGAATGGGTGAAGCCAGTTTCAACTTGCAAAAAGTTAAATTTTTTTAAAACAATGCCCATTTTCACTATTTTACTTGCATTTATAAGAATAAGTACTTAGCAAAGTATTTCTAACTAAAGGTTCTACATGATACCCTTTAATGAATGAAGATACTCTGTAAGGAGAGCTTATTACTGAAGAAACAATAGTGGCTTTGCAGCAGCTTTATCAAATTCTGAGAAAATTATTTAGAAATTAAAAAATGTTTTTACACTGTAATTAAATAGTTAACTGGACACGTACAAGTAAATGAAAGCTAAACATAGAAAAAAGATTACCCCAAAAATTCGGCTGAATACTTTCACAAATTTAACACATAAGGAGTTCCTGTGGCTTTTTCCTTGTTCAGTTTCCTGGCACTCTTTGTCAGACATCACAGGGGCCTCCAGGTTCTGCCGTAAGTCAGGATGTCTCCCTGAGGGAAGACAGGGATGAAAGAAAACATCCTGTTGACAGTTGTTATTCAGTCCCTCTAATTGCTACCCTCTATTTGAACTGGTGTCTTTTGGTGTTTGAGGAAAATAAGGAATAAGAAAAAGGGAAGAAATGGTCTTGAGCATGGTTATGAGAGTTAATCCTGAGCTTTTTGAATTAGCCTTTATATCTCTTTAAAAAGTAGAGTTTTCTTTCTACTCCATGGACTATCTTGGAGGAATAAGAAGTGTCCTGACTCGAGTTCTTGGAAGTGTCCTTTACATGTGCAATGAACATGAATGGGAAGTAGGACCACCTCCTCCTTCAAGGGAATTGTGCCTCTGACAATCAGGAATGGTGTGGCCTCTGTACAGAGTCAGATGTCCTGGTGGCTCCTGGAGACAAAGTCCTGAAGAGGCAGGGGCATTAGAGGCAATAGGGCGTTAGACACTCTGGGAAAGGAGGAGCTCTAGCCATCTAGGCAAGTCTCTTTTTGCCAGACCACTCACGTAGCATCTCCCTTGGGTCTCCACCATTCTCCTCTCCTTCTCTTGTTCTGCATCTATGAGGACATGGAGCTCCTCTTTGAGGATAACTGGTGACCCTGATTTGCTGTGGCAGGTGCACTCACCACTATTTTCTTGGCTCCAGTCCAAACCTGAGAGCAGACAGACAGTGCCTGGCTTGACATTGCTGGTGGCGAGGGGAAGAGTCTGGACCTTGTGGTTAAGGGTGGCAGGCTTAGCCAGCTTAATGAGCATGAGGTCATCCTGTGGGGAGCTGTGACTGTAGTTCCAGTAGCGGATAATCTGGATGGGGTTAATTGTCTGCTCTGTCCCATCTCGGACTCTGCTCTTGAAATTTCCCAGCATCAGTTTCAGATTTCTGGAGGGAGAAGGGGTTGCAGGTAGTTACTATCATCTTCATCACTAAGATATTGAATGTTACAATGTGCCAGACAATGTGCCAAATGCTTTCTCTGGATTATCTCATTTAACTCACAAGAAGTCTATTTTAATCCCCATTTTATAGATGAAGTAATTGAGGCACATAGGAGTAATTTACCCATGGTCATACAGTAAGTGGTGGAACCCTTAACCACTGTGTCCCTAAGGAGTGGAGAGGAAAATGATACATGCACAGAAATTTAAATTTTTCTCCTCTCTAGCTCCAGCCTATCAAATTGGGCAATTTCTATTTTGGTGGAGGCAGGAAGAATGTGATCACCTGAGTGGTGGATATCTCCTGTTTGTTTCACTAAATCCTCTAACAACTCTACTCCACACTCCTCTACATCTCTGGAAGGTGACATGTGTATTAAATCAGTGGGCTGTCTTGTCCTATGGCTTCTTGTGTTTTGGACAATAGAAAGCACCAGAAGGAGAAGAGTGAGGTTGGAGCATTTATCCTCCCAGCCCTGTTCCTGCAGTGTTGCCACAGATTAGCTGTGTCCCTTAATCAAAGGTTACAATTTCTATCAGGTGGTCACTTCATATAGTCATTTCTCTTTGTCTCTCTCTCTTCCTTCCATGAAAATACTCTCTTCCCGTTAAGCTTAGGGATGATAACCACATTTTCCTAATACTAACCCTAGAACTATTCTTTGTATTTTCTCTATAAAATCTCCATACCTTTGCAATTAGTTCTTTTTAAAAACTCTCCTTAATTTACCCAATTCAAGTGCATCATCAGTTACCTGCTGGGCCCTTAACTGACAAAATGCATTTATACTGCCAGTCACAAAACAAAAAGCTGATGGGAGACTGAGGAGGGATAATATGTGTAGCACAGCATTCCTCAACAGCAGCAATATCAGTATTTTGGGCTGAAAAAGTCTTTATTACAGGGACTATGCTGTGCATTGCAGGATGTTTTGCAGCATTCTTGCTCTGGCCTTTACCCACTAGATGCCAATAGCATGGCCCCCTGGTTGGGACAACCAAAAATATCTTCAGACATTGCAAAATGTACCCTGGGGGAAAATTTGCCCCTATTTAGGAACCACTGATTTAGAATGAGTAGTAGCTGTTTCGGGGGTGAAGATGCCCAGTACTCACGGTAGGTAGCAGTGAGCTGGGGCCAACACCCAGCTTGTTTTGATGAGGACACCCACACAAGGGTTAAAATGAGACTTGAGGTATACCAAATAGGGAGCATGGTCTTCTTTCTGCACAGATGAGTGAACTACAAAAAATGTCCCTGAGAAAATAATTAATGTCCTTAATATATGAAATGTTAGAACAAATAAGACAATCAACAGTTTCCTATTTGAAAAGGAATATGGATGATTTTAAAGAAGTAATCAATTGGCCAGGAAATGTGAACATATTCAACATTCTTTCTAATAAAAATGTAAATTAAGATAATATACCATTTTATTTAATACTTATAATAATCATTTTTCATTCAATATTGATAATATTTAATATAAGAAAGAGTATAATGAGAAAGATTCTCATTCACTGATTATAAATTGATTTTATCTTGTTGAAAAGCAATTTAGAAGTAGGCATCAAGAATTGTAAATTATTCATAAACTGTGACCTAATTATTCCACCCCCAAGAATCCACTCTAAAGACATAATCAGATACAGACAAATATTCTGAATGTGTGTTTATTTTGGCACTACTTATAATAGCTGAACATTGAAAACATAAATGTCTAATATGACAATGTTGGAGATTGAAATAAAGAGGCACAAGAATAAACGGAGCATCATATCTATTAAAATTATATTTATAAAGAATATTAAACAGGAAAGGAAATATTGATAGCATTTCTTTAAGTTAAAAATAACAATAAAATGTATCTATAATGTAACCCAATTGTCTAAAAACAAGTAAACAAATAAAAAATTAACCACTTAAATGCAAAAACATGTATTAAGTCTGGGAGTAAATTCAAACAAAGTGTTAACATGTGTTGACAGAAGTGAGATTATGAATGATGTATATTTTTTTCTCCTTTTAAAATCTCCAAATTCTCTAACAGGAATATATAATATTTTAATAAATAAATTATTGAAAAAAAAAGATGATAAAAGGGAGAAAGGCTAATTCTAGTACCAGAAATAAAGTACTGTTCTTGTCTTGGCTGCTCTCAGTACTTCTGTTAAACCTCCCCAAGCCTGGGTCTATACCTCACCACACCCTTCTTTGTGTGGTCATACAGTTAGAAACCCAAAGGGAAAAAGGGTGGATTATTAATAAGGTCAAGAGACATTGAGCTCTATACCAGGCACTGTTTTAAGTACTTTACATGGATTTATGTAATCTTTACAACAACTCTATAATGTACATAGCGATAGCCCCATTTTGACTGAAGGAACTGAAACACAGATGGATTAATTAACTTGCATAATCTCAAATACCTAATACATGATGCAACCTAGGCAGTCAGGAAGTGATGGGAAATGTCTCACCAGCAAATTCTGCCACCGGTAGAACTTCATGAAAGGCAGGGACTGCAGAGGTAGGGCCCTAGTATTTGATTCCCCCCCTCCACCTTCTCCATTCTGTGCATTATGAGTCTTGAAAGTTTTAGAAAAGGGGGAATATCAGGGGTCAAATGAGTTCATCATCCTTGTGACCACACTGGAACTTGTCCAGCGGGTGGTAAGGCTCACATTTTGGAATAACCGGGGAAAATACTCACTGTTGAATATTCCCCAGGGCAGGTGTGTGCCATAACCCACCCCACAGCTTAGCACTAGAAGGGTGGGCTCAGCCTTTCCTGGGAGACTTTGGATGGGGTCAAAGAGGGGAGATCCCTAATTCTGCTCATGACAGTATTTCTTGACTCTTCTTATGCATCCTTCACACATCCCACCTCTACCTCACCCATCCTACATTAACCAATGCTTACAGGACAGAGTAGAAGGTCTTGGATACATACCAGCAAGGATGCCCAAATAGAAGATAAATTTCATGGTGGTCCAGATCTTTCCCTGTGAGATGCAGAAGAAGATCAGCAGAGTATAGAGCCTCAGCTCAGTTGTCCCCTCAGGAACACCTGGTAGGGTCAGTGGATATCGTTAGGTATGGGGGCACTCAGTGGGAATGGAAAACAGCTCTGGGCACAAACAGAGGAGGGAGATAGCTCCAGATAAAGAGATGGAAGCACTTCTGCTCTAAGGACGGTGGGGGACTGTGCCTCTACTGTGGCCTTTCAGAGAAGGAAAAAGAAGCTTAATTCCTTAGACTCCTGGATTCAGGTCCCTCTGTCTGCTGCCCCAAAAGCCCATCTTCCTGAAGGTAGTTCAGATGTCTGTGGAAAATGGAGCTCTGGGTTCAGCACTTATCTTCCCCACAGTTTTTGGGGTCAGTGCTGTGGGAGACAGGATTCTTCACCTTAGCTCACGGAGACAGTGTCCCTTAGGTTTGCCCTGAACCCCCTAACAGTTAGTTGTACTCTCCCACAGCCACACCCATCTTTGTTACACTAGCTTACCTTTCCCTTTGATTACTGTTTCATCACTCGGGCATCATCGCCAGCTTGGTCTTTGTTGTCCTGATCAACAGCTTGAGCTAAGGTAAAGTAGAAATTAAAAGCATTCATAGAACAGTTATCTCGACAGATAACTTATTAATTACCCCAGTCAATCTTGGATAATCAGAAGCACAATCTAATAAGAAAAAAAGCAGGAACGCTAATAGCTAACATTCATTGAGCATTTACTGAATCCCAGGCGCTGGGCTAAGTTCCTTACAGAATTTTCAGAGGTGATTTTTTTATCAGATTAGTCTGAGATGTAGAGTTAATTAAATTGCAACACTGTAACCTTTTAAAGTTTCTTAAACCTATAATCCCGTCCTAATGTCACAACAACTCTAGAAAGAGGAGATAGGGCTGGGCTGGTATCAATTTTTTTTTTTTTCTGATCTGTGGGTGACAGAACCAAAGCAGAGAAAATTTAAGTGATTTTTCACAAAGTCACACATGGTGGAAAACTAGACATAGAATCTAGGTCTTGTTACTGGATACCAATAGATTTTCAACCATGTCCACCAGGCTTCAGCCAATCAACCAGCATGGATGTTATAAAATTGTTCAGTCCCTCACACAGGTTCCCTGAAGTGTGGAACAAAAAATACTCTCCTGAACCTCACAACAAACACAGAGGTGCACTGGGGAGCAGGACTGGTTTATGAAATGTCTTAAGATTCTAAGTGTTATTGAAAAGTTATGAGGGGGAGTTATAGAAAGTTTTCTGTGGGAAAGATGGGGTGGGATTAATTAAAACAGGTGAAAAGTTGAGAGAGAGATATGTTTTACTCTGAGGTTGTTCATTTTTAGATCTCTCGGACATATGATGGGTCAAGAAGTGAGTTTGTGGCCTGGTTTGGGAGTGCAAGGGCTCAGAGTAGAAAAGCGGGGTCAGTATCTAGGAAAAGATCTCTGCAGTCAACAGATTTTCTGGAGGAGGTAGGCACTAGTGACTACTACCTATCCATGATTTTCAAATTGGTGTCTCTAGCCCAGACTTCTGGTCCTACATATAGAACTGCCTCCTAGAAACCCTTGTTTATATCTCCTTTAGGCCCCTGAAATGCAGCATGTCAAAATTAAACTCCTTATTCCTCCAGACTTTCAAATTCACTCTTTTGCCCGTGTTCCTTATGTTAGGGGATAACTCTACCCTCCACTTGTTCGACTTCTCTCTTTTTCTTTCCACTAAATCCCAAAGTCTGTTCTACTTCCTGGAAGCTCTTGAATCCATCCCCGTCTTTCCATTCTCTGCTGTCATCCGAATCCAGGCCCTAATCTTGTCTCACTTGTACCTCTCTATCATTGCTCAACCTGACATTTTCTCTTTCACTCAGACTGCTTGTTTCCCTAAAGTGCAGATGAGATCATATTAATCTTCCTCTTAAAACTCTTGTGTAATTCCACACTGCCTCAGAGTAAAGCTCAAACCCCATAGCACAGTATAGGGGGCTCGCCCCACCCTCATCTCATCCTGTCTTTGCATCCTCTGTTCTCATTTCCTCTTTGCCACTGTCTTCCCACCCGCCCACCAACATACTTTTTTCCAGGTCTACTAAACGATTTTCAAGAGTGGGTTTTCTTGTTTTAACACTAATGACTTTTAAATTATTTAGCCTTTGAATGGTTCCTTTAGTTTGTCTATCCCATATATTTTTTCCTTTTTGTTTTAGGATACTGGTATATCTAATAATAGGGACATTATACTTAAAGCTTCTCCTTGAAAAAACAACTTTAGAATTGAATGGATGTATGTGTGTGTTTATGTGTGAGTGTGTGATAGTCAACATTTCCTCATATGTTTGTAAGTTTTTTGTTCTTAAGTTCTTTATCTACTAGCGTCATCATCGATTCCATATACACATGCTTCCATCTGTCTCCAGCCTCATTCCACAGAATATCTCAGGTTTATAGAGATGGTAAATCTATTATTGTGTCATTCTCACCATCAAACTGATTTTCTATTTAAGTAATATCATTTTTATATTTTGCTACCAAACTTTAATTATTCAATTTGAAAATGGCAGGTACAGAAAAAAGAGAGAGGGAGAGGGAGAGAGAGAGGGAGAGGAGGAGAGAGATTGAAAGAAGTCACGTCAGAGAGGGCAATGTAGTGATGACAATAGATTTAGAGATCTGGCAAGAGCTACTGGTGTTGGTATTGTTTGAAAACTTTATCCAAGTGTGTCTGTTGTTATGAGATATGACCTGTACAAGTGAAGCAATTCTGAGGAGTGTGCTGAGTGCAACTGACACGCATAAAGGGGAGGGGAGTCTGTCACACAGGGGGGTGGAAACATAGCTGCGTTTCATCAGAGTAGCACAGAGGGGAGAGGAGTCAATGGGACCTATAGAGGAGAGGGATGCTGGTCACACACTGGAGGGAAGAAGCTAGTGGAAAGAATTGAGAGGCCAGGGAAGACACTTGGGATGAATTTGAACTCCACAGAAGTGACTCCACAGAAGGTTCACTTGGCTCCTACTTTGAAATTCTTTTCCCTAAATAAGGTGGATAAAGCTAAGATTTTCAGAACCAATTTTTCCCAAGGGCAGGTGTCGGTATGACTGAGAAGATGATTATGAGTACTGATAGAGAGAGTGGGCAGGTATGTGACTGATGCATCCATTTTTACACCAAAGATCGAGTTTGGAAGGAAAGATCTCTAGACAACAGAATTTTGTAGAGGCCTCATCGCATTTTCCCACCTGTACCTTCCCTTGCTGTTCAAGGTCCCCAGGCAGGATATAAGTCCTGTCCTTGTTTTGTGCCTGTTTGTTCTCTCTACAACCTTATCCTCTGGACAGGATTTAGGCATCAACATGAAGGGTATCCTCCTATCAACTTTGCTGATGGTGACTGGTGAGTGACCGAAGCTATCTCTTTGTCAAGTTGATTATGACTGTATTGGGGTAATGCTGTAGTACTCTGTTAGAAAAGAAGAGCTGGTGAATCAGGACCATGAAAGTTTGGCAAAGAGGTAGTATACTAATCACGCTTTTCTGTACAGGATCCATCATTTCCAGGACCTAAGACATTTTGTTATGGGCTTCAAACTTCCTCTGAGTAACTGATAAGATTCTTGGGCTGAAACATGGAGGCATGCCAGAAAGAAGGATGGAGAGCTAAGACTGAAAGGGGGCATAGGAATTTATAAGACATAAAAAGCAGTAGCAGCAGGTATTCTGAAAAAAAAAAAAAAAGAACAAGAAAAATTTTGTTCTCTGAGCTTTAACATATAATGTGTAATAATAATAATAATAATAATCACTACCACCACCATAAAAGCATATATACTTTTATAGTGCTCCTTATATAACAGACATTACTCTGTTTTCTACATATTAACTCATTTAATTCTCATAACAACACTATGAGAAAAGTAGTACTATTATTCTCATTTTATAGATGAGGAAACTGAAGCACAGAGTAATTAAGTAACTTGCCCATAATGACATTAGAATGACTCCATAGTTAGGTAATTATGTTCTCCTAGTTAATAGTTATAGGGTCTGGGACAAGTAGCCTAACCGCTTTGAACCTCAGCTTCCTTATCTGTAATGCGAGAAAAATAATATCTATCTGTTAAGGTTGTGCAATGCTTCCTAAACATATATTAGAATGGTGGAGTTAATGAAGTTAAGTGGGGCAGAGGGTAGGGAGATTGTTTTAGACAGAAGAAACAGCAGTTGTGAAGGCTACAGTGCAGAGGAAAAAAGAGTAGTAAGAGTCTTACAGTAGAAAGTCTTCTAACCTTAATTTTAGAAATGATTCTGGATGTAATAGAAAGACTTTAAAGTGTTCTAAATATGAGAGTTATATGACCACATTTATGTTTTTAAAATATTCATGCAACTTCAGTATGGAGAATGGTTTTGGGTACAGACATAGGTTGTGAGTGGGAAGATCTGGAAGAGAAATTTAGGAGAGTATTGCAGGTCTCTGGGCAACAGAATTGACTAGGGTCGTGGCAGTGAGTACAAAATAAAGTAGAAAAATTACAGAGATAGTATAAGATAGAATCCATGATTAATTAGGTGTGGTGAATGAAAGACAGGAAAAAGTAAAGTATGCCATCCAGATTTCTGTTTGGGTGAGTGGGGGTAAAATTTATTAAAATGAGGAACACTGGAAAAGAAGTAAGTATTTGGGAAAGAAGACAAATTACAGTTTATTTACTTGGTTTGAGATGCTTTAGAGACATAAATGAATATTTTCAGTTGAATATAAGGGTTTGGAGATCGAGACAAGAATCTGAGTTGGGATACAGATTTGGGAATTTTTGGAATATTGACAGAATTTGAATTCATAGGAGTGGAATAGATTACTTGGAAAGAGTTTATGGAAAATAAGTGTGTAAAGGACATAACTGTCTTTTTTTGTTTTAAATTTTTATTTTAAAATACTTATAGATTTACAGGAAGTTGAAAAAATGTATTGTGAGTCCCATGTATCCTTCTAATCAATTTCAATCCATGGTGACATCTTGCATAACTATAGTATGATATCAAACCATGAAATTGACATGTGTACAATCCATAGAGGTTATTCAGCTTTCCCCAGTTTAATTTGTAATTTCAATCCATGGTGACATCTTGCATAACT